TAGAACCCTATTATTAAATTGCTTTTTTGTTTTGCCAAATATATCATTAGTTGGTATATTTCATTTATTTCTTTCTCTAATATCTTTATTAATTGTAGTATGTAGCTTAATTTTAGTATTATTATTATATTATTTATATATGCAATCTAGTTCATTGTTATTTTCTTATACTTAAGGTTTTTTATTGTCTAGTTTATTATTCTTTTTGCTTTTTTTTTACTAGAACTTCTTGCATTTTGTTGTTTAGTCAGATTTTTAACAAACAGACTATCTTGTTTCTTGGTTCTTTTATTATTTTGCTTTTTTAAAATTTTTTTTTTTTTAACTTTTCTGTTCATTATTATTAGTTTTAATTTAAATTTATTTATTTATATATTATTTATTTTAAAGAACTTTTCTGTTGCTTTTAGAGTCTCAAGCAATTGTTCTTTATTACTCATAATCCATGTTGTATTATCTGTATAAGCAATTGCTACTTGGCAATAGCTTGTAATGTTATTACAATATATTTCATCTTTAATCTCTTGTTTTACTATATAGTCTAATCTTTTATTTTTTTGTATTTTTTTTAATAACAGATTATAGAAAAGGCATTATATTAGTAGTAGATTTGGTCTAAATAACTTTGTTCTATATATAAAATTATATTAAGATAGTATATTTTATTTTTATACTTAATAAATTTTTTAAAAAAATGCTTAATTTTGGATTTTTAATAAAACTTTTTATTAAAAATTTAAAATTAAGTATCTTTTCTTTAAAATTTATTAAGTATAAAATAAAATATGTTATTCTAATATAATTTTATATATAGAACAAAGTTAATTAGAGCATAAAGTTAAAATATATTAATAAATTTCTAATAATTATAATATTCTTTATAATTTTATTAATAAAATTATAAAGAATATTATTATTTTCAAAATTTTACTAATGAATTCTAACTTAGTATTCTAAATTATTTTGTTATTTATATAAAAATATATTAAACTGAACATGTTTATAAACTTTGAACTGAACCTAAACTAAACTTAAACTAATTTAAAAAGTTTAAAATTAAATTAAACTAAACTAAACTGAATTTTATTTTTTAAAAATATTAGTTTAGTTTAGCTTAGTTTTTGAACTAAATTTGAATTTGATAAAAATTTAGTTCTGTTCAGTTTATAAAACTCAGGTCATAGAAAGCATTTATAAAAAGAATATATAACTAACTATTTGTATAACTTTAATTATTATTTAATTTAAGTAATCTAACTGAAAATTCTATACTAGCTCTTATACTTAAAACCTATTTGTGAGTTCTCTATTTAAACACTTTAGTTTTTGTATCTATTTACCTATCTATTCTACCAATTGCCTCAGTTTTTACTAATGCAAATATACTATGATTACTAGGTTTTTAAAGTGTTTATTTATATGAGAAACTTTTAAACTTGTACTAAACTTATTAAAGCTTTCTGTTATCTAATTTCTAGCTAACCTGGTATTACTATAACTGAAATTAACATTTGCAATTAGATAACTCTTAGACTACTATATCTTTGTAAAGTTTATATAACTTTAGTATCTCTTTTTATAATCTTACTAATACCTTGTATGCTTTTGTAAGTTCTTCTATATTATCAATCCAGTTAGCTTTGTATAATGTAACTTTATACTTAGTTTAACTAGTAGCCAGATTAATAAATCTTTTTATCTAAGGTTCTTGTTTGTACAGATCATTTGCTTTAGGTTTTTGTTTTCAGATTAAGATTTTTATAGATAGTATTATTAAAAATTGTATTATTTTTCTATTTGGGATTTTCAAACAAGGCTTTTTATAAAATATATACTTTTTAGATTTATTTATGTAATATTATATGCTTTCAAAGTTAGTCTTGATATAATCAAAATTACAAAGTTACAATTTTAGATATTTCAAACAAGTTATCAGAATAGGACTATTTTTTAAATTTCTATTATCAATGAGATTTGAACTTTAAACCTACTACTTAGAGAATAACAACTCAACTATTATACTAGAATTATTATTTTTTTAAAAAATTTTTATTTAATAAATTTTTTATATAATTATTTTTTTTAACAATGTTATAATTAGTATCAGATAAGTATAAGTAAAAGAGAAAGGCAACTGATCAAAAGAAAAAATAATACTAGGTTTAAAGAGATAATCATCAGTAACATTAGCAGAGCTAGTATTAATATAGGCAGTAATTCTAATAATATTTGAAAAAAAACATAAAAATTCATACAGATAGCAACATAACAGTAAGAAGTATTAGTAAAGTATTGCAAAATATAAAAGATAAATAAAAAAATCTTTAAAAAAAAGAATGTAATATGAATACTGAACATTACAGAATTATTTTAAAAAAAAACATCAATATAGAATTAATTAAAATTAAAAATCATAGCAAAAACAGATATAATAACAGAGCAGACTTTTTGGTAAAAAAGAGATAAGCTATAAAGAAATAATTCAAATAGAAAAACTTAAATATAAAGAAATAGAATACCAACTAGAGTATGTAAATAAAAAAATAGATATTTTTGTAAGATTTCTTTATAAAATAATTATGAATGCCAAAATAAAAGCTAATTAGAGAGATACAAAATTGATTAGAATTTTAGAATCAGAAACAGAACACATTTTACAACTGGTTAAGTTTCTGAAAAAAAATAAGTAAAACAAAAGAAATACATTGTATTTCAAAAAAACTAAGTACAAAAAGAACTATAGTAATCAAGTGCATAATGAATAACTTACTAATATTAGTGGAATTAAATAAAAGAAAATCTGAAGTATATAAAATAACAAAATGTCAAATTTGTCAAAATGATAAAAATAAATCCAAGAATATCTAGTAAGCTGTAATGAACAAAGAAACTTATAAAAATAGATATAGAAAGTTTCAACAACAACAGTATAAAATAGACTCAAAGAAAAAAAAAACCAGAATTCTAGTATAAATATTATACAAAGTATTATTCAGAAAAACAGAAACAGAAGAAATTATAAATAAAAAGGTACTAATAAAAAGATTAATTACAATAAAAGTAAGAAAAAAACTTGATAAGTTGCTAAATAAGTAAGTAGTAAAGAAATACCTAGATATAATAATAAGAACAATATGAAATACCTTCTATAATTAAATATAAAAAATCTGATACAAAATACAAAATTAAAAAAAAAGTTAATATAATAAATAAAATAAAAGATATCCAAATAGAAAAGAACTCAATAAAAAGAAAAAACAAGATAATAAAAAAAAAAGAAAAAATAGCAAAAAAAAAATAAGAAAGAAATAGAAAAAACAAGTTGGAAAAAAAGAAGCTTGGAAGACAATTAATATACTTGTTACAAAAAGGAGAAGACTCTTTTGGTATGGCTTTAAGTAGTTAGATAAGCAGTTTATTTTTAATTAAGATAGTGCAACAGGTTGCACTTAGGTGTTATTAGGATAATCAAGTGATACTAGACTTAGATATTGGAAAATTCTATATAATTATATATATATTTAGTTTCAAGAATCTTAATAAAGTACTAATATAACTGCTTAAGTCAAAAAAAAAATTATTATAACTATATAAAAATATTTTTATAATTGTTACATCTTTATATAATTATTAATTTCTGTATCTTGAAGATGTGACTATAGAGAAATTAGACTGTAAATGAATTTTAGATATAACAACTAGTATAAACCTTCAAGTGAACTATTTAAATTAAACAATACAAAGTTATACATATAACTAGTTGTGCTCTTTACAATATGTATATATTATAATTCTAACTTATAAATACTAATAAAAATTAACCAATAACAGATAACCATTTTTTGATAAAAATTATTGACTAGGCAGCTTTACTTAATAAGTAAGCTAGGACTTTATTAGGATTGAGTTAACTTACCTAACAACGTAAGTTACGAATATATAGATTTAATGCTGACCAGAATTATGATAAAATTGACCAACATTTATAATTTTTTGATAATGTAAGGTACGGCTTGTTCTACCCTAGACTTCATTAGTAAAACTTTTAGTGATCTTGGGCAAAATGTTAATTCCGACCCTTCCGACTCGGAAATCCTGTATAAGTTGATTTTTAAATATTGACAGCCAAGTCGATAACGATAAATAATTGTTGCGGCTGAATCTGAGATCAGCCGATGTTAAATTTTTTTTAGACCGTTTTTTAGTTTTTTTTAGGGTTATGTGGTTAGAATTGTTATGTGGATTTTAGTAGGTTTAGTAGATTCAAATTGAGACCCTAAATCTCAGCATCAGCCGCGACAATTATTACTGTAGTATTACGAAACATGTTATTCGAAATCTTAATAGGGTCAACTCCCGATGGGTTAATCCGCGTTAGGTTAGCATTTAGCTATAATTCTGATTAATTTGTTTCTGGATTTTTGTTAAATGTCCTAGTGTTACCTTTTACCACCTTAAAAAAATTTCATTGTCCAATAAAATTTCAAACTCTTGCTTATACGCGACATTTTAGTATCACTATGCCCTTGAACCTTAATTTAATGTCAAAAATGTATCCCTAGCGTTAGGGTTTAAAATTTAAAGTACAACAGAGACAGTGCCCGATCCAAAGTGAATCCATCTCGTCTGTGATCAATCACAAATTAAATTATTTATGCTGGATTCAATAATCCCTCACCAGTTTTAATATGTGTAACATTAACGGTCTCTGCTGTTATCTTAAAGTCGCGAATACTTTTTTCCTGCAATGTACTATATTTATATTAGATGTTCGTTAATTCGGGATGTTCTTTTAAGGATATATATGCAATTTTATGCTTATATAATGTTTTTTCAAAGATGCAAAAATTTTCTATTACTACGTATACAAACGTGTACGTACGAACAGACCTAACAAAAATTTATCGAATCTAGATGAAAGGGTGTAACACAAGTATTGAGAAACACAATTTCTAAAAAAAGAAAAAATTCGTGTTCTGATCTCCTGCGAGATTTTTTAAATGTCTTCAGATAGATACATAGTTTCAGCACCCGGAAAAGTTATTTTATTTGGGGAACACGCGGTTGTTTATGGCAAGGTACAAACCCGAAACTTTACAGAATTACATTTATTCTCTTATATTCATATATATATACGCATATATGCATATGTTTAATAATTAATAGACAGCAATAGCTGGAAGCCTTGACGGATTACGAACGTATGCGTTCTTTGAAAAACGGATAGATGGATATGTTGAGTTGAACTTGCCAGATCTTGGCCTTCAACGCGCCTTCTTATGGCCTGCTTCCGCATTACCATATAATTTAGTAAATAATGTTGATATCAAAGGTGCTTTTATAAAAAATTTATGAAATTCTTTCAAAGATTCAATGAAATTAAATTGATCAAAATTTTCTTTTCGGTAAAAGAACCTCAGAATTTAAATTTTAATGATGCACTTTTACATAAAATCAAATCAATCGCGCTTGAAGGACAAGATAATCAACAGATTAATAATTTTCAACAAATTGCTGCTTTCACGTTTCTTTATTTATATACTTGTTTGGAATATAATTCACAAACTTCATGGTATTTTTCCCTTAGAATTATTCATTGATAATCATTATTTAATATTAAATTATAATTTACTTATCAGGAGTGGAATGACAATTTATGTTAGATCGAATATACCAGTTGGGGCAGGATTAGGATCATCTGCTTCATATTCAGTTTGTTTGGCCACAGGATTATTACTTGCTTTTGGTCATATTTTATCTCCTTACGAAAGTAATGAACAAGACATTAAAAAATCGAGGGAATTAATTAATTTATGGGCATATCAAGCCGAAAAAGTCATTCATGGAACACCATCTGGTGTTGATAATTCAGTAGCTACTTATGGTAAGTTTAAAACAACATCTTGTTAAATATGTATTTTGGCTAATATTATTATATTATTTTACAGGAGGCGCTATAATGTTCGCCAATGGTGTGATTCAAAATATGATGGGGTAATGATTTATTTTTTGTTAATATATTGTTATATATGATTTATTTTAGACTGACAAGTTCTTTAAAAGAACTCGGTCTTTACGCTTTTTATTAACCAACACCAAAGTACCACGCAACACAAAAATTTTGGTAGAAAATGTTAGAACAAGGATTGAAAATGTAAAAGGCGTATTTTCTATTAATAAATTGTTCATTAAATATATTTTAATTAATTAATTATTTATTTTATTTTTTATTTTTAGTTTCCAAAAATTACAAATTTGATATTGGATGCAATTCATGATATTAGTGAATCATTTAAAGAAATTTTGGGAAGTGAAATAAGTAAGTGTATGGTTTTATCTATATCTATTATTTTATTAATAATCTTATTAACATAATACTCATTATTTAATTCAATTCACATAGTGGATGATCAAGAACTATATACGAAAACTGAGGTATTGTGGATACACTATTGTCTTTATCTTTTAAATCATTTCTATAAATAATTTATAAACTTAAACATATTTCGAACGAATATATATATATATATTACGTAGGGGCTTATTGATATGTGTCATCACCTTTTAAATTCACTTGGTGTAGGTCACCCAAGCCTAGATAAAGTTCGTGAAATAGCTGCACAATGTAATTTGCATACAAAACTTACAGGTGCTGGTGGAGGAGGATGTGCACTAACCTTGATTCGTAATGGTAAGTTCAAAAAATTAACTGAAAAAATTAGTATGAAAAAAAAATTAGTGTGAAAAAATAGATTAAATGTATAAAAATATAGATGTATCCAAAGAACAAATCGAAATTGTCAAAACGGCATTGACCGCTTCACCGCATTGTTTTGAATGTTATGAAACATCAATCGGAGGACATGGAGTTGGGGTGCTGGATGCAAGTTGTGATAAAAGCTTACAGGAATTCTCGGAGTGTGAAAAGAATCAATTGGCAGGAATTATCGGATGGATGTACTTCGCCTAAATTCTAAATTGTACAAAATCTCTTGGCATACAATAACATAATTATTAGTTATTTTATTGGTTACAATTTTGTTTTTGGTTAATTGTGTTAATCATAATTACATTAAAGGAAAGGTTACTGATTAAAAGATTGAGAACAATACCATTTACGTACATTTTCAACCCACGAAATTCATGTACGTACATACATACGTACGCACAATGAGGTTCAAATAGTGAATCTTAACATTAAAGGTAAAAGTTATACGTAAAATTCTAATGTCATTTGATTGGGAAAAAATAAAAGAATATTAGGTAATAAATATTTAGGTCACAAAAAATTTCATTTTGAAAGATCGATACCAATTTAATCGAAAATAGAGGGGATATAAATTCTTAGACCAATAAAGATTTAAGAATGTGTGAAACCTTTTAACGTATCACATGGTCAGAAGGACTGATAATTTTCTGAATATCTTTACGAATTAACAAGATTCGAAAAGTACTACGGTTCAACTTTCTTAATTTTATTTGATCAACGAAATAAATACCAAATTTAATCGAAATCGGATCGAATCAAAATCGAATAGAATTGTGAATTTCCTAAAATATATTCGTTATTTAGGTCACGCTACTTAATGTAACGTTTACTTAAAAAAAAATTCATGTGTACGAAAAAAAAAACTGGGGGAATTTTTTAACATATATTTCCGAAAAGAAAAGATCTTCATAAAGGATGTGCGTGCGTTTAGTGGCAAAAAGTTCCGTAATAGTTGTAAGATGAGATGATAACGTATAATTCAGAATGTTCGATTAATACCGATAAAACACAAGCATTAAAGAAAATCCGGATGAACACAAACAATAACAAAACATAAACACACCCGTTTCCAATGTAACAACGTTTTAGGAAAAAAGGTAAATAAAATCACATGGTTACCTATAATGGATACTATAATGGATGCTATCGTGTATGCTATCATGTATGCTAGAATGTATGCTAGAATATATGCTAGAATGTATGCTAGAATGTATGCTAGATGTGAATATATGTGAAAAAGAGACTTTTCATCAGATTTATTTTACATGGAATTGACTAGTCTCTGACACTAGAAAAGAAAAGAACGCGAAACTTTAAGACGCGCACTCAAAACGCGCACCCGAAACGCGCAATTGAGTTATTCTCTTATTTGATATGTATACGTATTCAATATGAAAATGATTTGAACTAACCTAATATTTATTTGTTATACGCGCGATACAGCGTGAATGGGTATGTCCGACGAACTTCTTTTTGACGGATATGTAATGTAAATAAATAAACAGGCATCACCTCATTTTTGAAACAATATGCCCGAAAGGTATCTTTGCATTATCCAATAATCACCAAATCCTTCCTCCTTTTTTACTCAAAATTAACCCAAATTCTCTCAAACACTTGCATTACCATTGTTCTGAATAAACCAATTTTAGTCAATCGAACATAGAAGAATGAATTTCGATTAAAAATTAATGATAACATTGTACCATGGTTGTTTTTTGTTCTTACGTTATTGCGTTATCTAACTCTACCGGATTTGTGTTTTGTTCTCCTTTTTCGTGTGATGGTCATTATGCATTATTTGGCATATGACCAAATTTGTTTAATGCACGAAAAAAAAATTAATAATGAAATTCTCATTCTAAACGCATTAATCACATTTATCGCATTAGCTAAATTAACAAATTGATTCATTTTTGTTCATTCATCGTTATTCGAAACAAAAATAAGTATTGGGTACGCATTCAGGTCATCGTTTTACAATCAAATTTCATTGTTTAAAAAATTTTGGTGGGCTTATTTTTTTTTTTTTTTTTCTTAAAATGTATTAACTTATCAAAACTATGATAATACGTTTTTTATTTTGATTCTTTTTTTTTTTTTGTTTTCAAAAAAAAATTTTTTTTCTCAATTATTGTCATTCTCTTCCCAAACGACAATGAAAAATTTTCACTCACATAATATTCACACAAAATATTCAAAAAATTATTCACTCATATTCATTAATATCCCAAAGAACCAACTAAATAATAATAATATATTTCTATTTGTTCTTTTTATTATCGAAACACGAAATTCAGATTATTGCCAGTAATCGAAAGGTAAAAATACAAAAAAGGTTTTTGCCAGAACGAAAAAAAAAGTCTTTTAAAAAAATATGTATAAAAAAAAAAAAAAAAGGTATAAAAAAAAAGTTTTCAGATTTTAACCATTTTAAACAGAAAAGAAACGTATTTTAGAAAAGACCAGGTACAGATAAAAAAATAAAAAGGGTATGGTAAGGGTAAAAGGGTCTGTCTATAAAGAACAGGCGAAAAAGAATACAAATGCGAAATGCAATGCGATAAAATGCGAAGATATAAAAGAAGTCTGCATAAAAATATTCGTGTATATAACCTATATATAAAATTGAATGAGAAAATGTGTTTTTTTGTAATGATTGTTCAAAAAAAAAAAAAAACAGTAGAGAACAAAAGAGCTAGGTTCCAAAGAAACGAGAACCTATAAAGAGGACACGATTTTTTTTTTTCGAACATAAATCTTGAAAAAAATAGGAGGAGAATAAAACGGTAGGATAAAATGCTTATAAAAAAACCATAAATTTTTGATGGATGGATTAAACATAATTTGTGTCGTATAACTCATTAAATTAATGATGCATATACAACAACGAGGAACAACGAAATAAAAAAAAATACGAAAAAAAAGGTAACCGCGAGTTTAAAAAAGATTCGTATATTGTTTAAGAAAAAGGAGTGAAGTATCGGAGAAAGAATAGTGAAGAAAAAAACAAACAACAGAAACGAGAAAAAAAAACTGATCGAAAACAAACAATAAAAACAATAAATATGATCAAAGGGGATGAGATTTCTTTAATGAAATTTTTAAAAAAACTATATACAAGAAAAAAAGTAAAGCATGTGTTATGTGTTATTCGTATGATGATGACATACTAGAGCCTTAAAAAAATTCTTTCAACCCTCCCAAATCTTTACAATCCAAAAGTCTCTTTAATTGTTTTTGTTATGAAGAAAAATGTTGACTTTATCCTTCCATTAATCCTTGCGCTCATTAAATACATGAAAAAAAAATACATCAATTTGTTCATTATTTCTCTTTTCGAAAATGCCTCCTGTAACAAACTATATGTTGGATAAAATTCTTGCTTGACGTTTTTTTTTAATAAAGATTGAAAAATATATATTTTTACGAGGAGATATCGAAAGAAAAAAAGAATTGAATTTTTTTTTTTTTTTAGTAACAAAAGAAAGGATTCTATTAAATACAAAAAAGGACTGAGAACAAAATAATTAAAAAACAAGAATAGATTTAATCAAAGGGATTTTGAAAATTATTAAAAGAATTTTTTTTTGTATGCATCATAATCTATAAAATAATATCGTATATGTCCAACTGAATTTTTGTTTAAACAAAAAAAAAGAAATCAAAATAGAGAAAAGGTTCTCAAACCTAAAATGTTTCTTCAAACCCTTTACTAAATCTTAAAACCTTATTTTTTGCTTCAAAAAACGAAATAAATCGACCAAAACGTGTGTACTATGTGTATTCCTCCCAATTTTGTAGTCTTGTGCGTTAAAAATGGGAACCGAAAAACAATGGGATAAAGAATAACCGTTTTGATCCACAACTTTGAAAAAAATAAATCCAAAACCCCACAATAAATATAAAAACCCAAGGAAATTATTTTTTTCTTATCATGGTAATCAAAATCCATCCCATTAGAGAAGTGTTAATTTTTTTCGAGGGTGAAGGAAGGGAACTCCCTTTATTTTGATTGATGTCAAATCAAATCATTGTCGTTTTACGTAAGTAAGGGAGGAATGAACTTGTGATAGTATAATTAGGGAAAATAACTTGATATATAAAACAAAGTTCCAATTTTATAATAATAATAAATAAATAAATAAAAAAGAGGCCTTATTACGAGCAAATAATATAAAGAACAGAGATCATTTTGCTCAAATTACAATACTTGGGGAATAATTACATTAATCCCATGAACCTTCCTTGATAAGTATGTCGAATATCTATATTCATATTATTATATTTATTATATTAATTCGTTAGTATTGATGATAATAAATTAATGAAACATGACATTAAACAGAAAAGAAAAATCAATATACCATATCACCCATTAAACTATAACCATCCTCTGTAGGATGAACACCGTCATGATCCCAAAAGATTCTACGCTGTTCTGTTGTTAAAGAATGCATAGGGAAGAATTTGTCAAGGAGGAAGAGTGTATATGCATTCCTTGTGGTGCTGTTGTTGTACACGCTAAAAGAAAGTAATATACATATATATTAGTATACAAGAATGAAAGGAATGAAAGGCGAAGAATTAAGCGTGACAATAAAGAGTTATCATATGACATACTTTAGGTGTTCATTTACTATACGGCGCTGATAATCAAGGTGATTTACAAGATCCTAAAAATTTAATGATAACGAGATTTAGAGAAATTCAGAAAGGTAGATATGGAAGCAGATATTAATAGAATGTAATCAATTACCCAATCAAATTCAGGAATCGTTACTCCCAATACTCTGGCACCGTGTTTTGAACATAATGTATATAATTTTTTTAGACCATCAAAGATATCCCATGCAGAATACCCATTGATCACATCATTTGTTCCTATAAAAATAAATATTTATATATTTAGAAAGTTTAAAAATATGTAAAAAATAAATGAATAAAAAATAAGAAATGAATAAATGAATGAATAAAATTTTATTATTACCTCCTAGAATGACAACCCAGTCATACCATTTACCAGGTTGTTCCAGTTCATGCTTTAACCTTTCTTCCATAGATTGGACAACGCATTCACCGGGAACACCACTAACAGTAACCTAGTAAACAATGATTTCAATGTATTGACATTTTAATTAAAACTCATAATGATTAAAAATATATAGAAATTTATAAATTAATAAAAGAAACATACTTCTACATCTAAACCTTCATCTTCGAATCTTTTCTGAACCTTCAGTCCGTAAGGATGATAAGTACCATAGCCATCGGCATTTTTTACCCATCCTATTTAAATAGAAAGGTTGTTAGTATCAGGATCCAAAATTGTGATGACAGAAAAGGTGATGATTGGCCATTGATAAACCGATGAATTGAGTAATCTCATGTAAATTATAACACCATCATACAATTATCATGCAACAATCATACTAAACCATAATATGATCATGACGCTGTCAATTAATCATCTCCATCATTAGTTCACCGTCAATTCACCATCAAATTCGCCATCAATTCAACATCAATTCAACGTAATTCAACGTTAATTCACTATCACCATCAATTCAATATCAATTTACCATCTAAACATCATCTATTCATTATCAATTCCCCAATAATTATTTCACCAATAATTTCATTATCAATTCACCATCAATTCACCATCAATTCATTATTCAATTCACCATTAATTCATTATTCATTTCACTATTAACCCATTATCAATTGCAATTGATTCATCATTAATAGTTTATCATCAATTAACTATCAATCCACCATTAATTCACCATTAATTAACTATCGATTAAAAAAAAAAAAAAAAATTTACCAGCAGTTAAACTATCGCCAAATAATAATATGTTATATCTTCTTCTCGGTTCGGTGGTCGACACCGAAGCGTTTCTTCTTTTTCTTAATACGGACTTTACAATGACATGTTGTTGATAGTTTGACGAAGAATTATTTACTAAGGGTTTTTCAGAAACCTCTTGTCGATTGTCGGTCAAATGTTCAACGATGGAACCAACGTCGTCATCGTCGTCGTCGAGTATAGACTCACTGTAGGAACAACAAAGTATATTTTTTATTTTGCTTAATAAAGGCATGTTGTTAAATAAAAAAGTTTTTTTTTTAATAAATTTTTTTTTTTTTTTTTTTTAATATAAGAAGGATTATATATGTGACCGATTTTTTTTTTGTACGAGCGTGAGGTTTGAAAACACTTTAATTAATCGTATATATAAAACAAAAATCTAAATAACAATGAATTGTTTGTTTGTTTTTTTTTGTTTGATTTTATTTCTTTTCAAAAGATTCTATGAAAATTTTTAACGAGAACAGATTCATCGAGTAGACTCGAAAAAAAATTCAGATTTATTTTATTTAATTTTATCTATAAAATAAGAAAATAAAGAATACAAGATATATATATATATAAATATAGAATAATGTAACAATAAGATAATGTATAAATAATGAAGAGGAAACGAGGAAACAAAAAAGAAGAAGGATGAATATAAGGTATTTTTTTTTTTTTTTTTTTAGAGAAATAAAAAAAAAGGGTCCTTCTTTGTGGGGAAAAAAAAGCGGTTCTATTTAAATAATATATATATTATCCTACTGCATACGGTTGAAATAAACAAATTGGAATCAAAAACATGCTTTTAACTTGATTTGTGGTATGATTGGATGTTATAGAATAAAACACAATTGAAAGGTAATTGAAAGGTGTAAGAATGGTGACACGGAAGACAGAGTAACACAAGCAGAGGGTGAGAGGTAGTGATGGGAAAACGGTCATATTAATGTGAAAAAGAAAATGTGGCAGCAAGATGAGTGACTGTTGGTTGAAATTCTAATCGGAACTACAAATCACAAACGGATGCATAGAATAAATAATCTAGATGTAGAAGCATATAGCATATGCTTACCGGAACATAGATAGTCAGTTACAGATGTACCATTTGAAAAATATCTATTGTTTGACACTTTCTGAAGTTGGTCGCTTGGGGCACAAAGTTCCCAAGAGCAGAAAACGGATTAGGGAAAGTGGCTATTACAAACAATGATATGTTTAAGAACATTATTCGATGACGTATTGACGTAAGGAGAATATATAAATAAAAAGGTTAACTATGTATTGAACAATGAATGAGAGAAATTGAGCATTGAGGAAAAGTATCTCGTCAGTAAAGGAAGAATCATTCCTTGATTTTCGGATTCCCAATTAACTAAACTATTATAGATACAACAATACGATCATCATAATAACCATTTCTATCGCATTCACATTCATCATTACATTAACATCTACTATCTACTATAACATCTATTACTACCACCCGACACTCTCACTACATTCGTTCCAATAATAGCATAAAAAAAAAAAAAACCTTAAAGATAAATATTTTATATGGGAATAGGCGATGCATGCATAATGATTACAATTCCCTAATAAGAATGAATCACAATCTCACCAAGATAATTCGGACCAAGATTATTCTGAGGGAACAAAAGTATATGATAAAAAGAAAGCATTAAAAAAGGGAATCAAAGCTTTCTAGTAATCGACGGGTGATGTCACCTTATCAGTCGTCGCGCTTATTTCTATTTCGCTTTTGATGAACATTACCCATTACGTGATATTTAGTATTAATAAAATGAACTTAATGATATCAATAATATGTATAAAAATTATAATAGTATATAAAATATAAACTTTAATGATACAATATATATTATAATGATGATATTGATTTTATTTTATTTTATTCTATTGATTGATAATTATTATAGTTATTGTATGTGTGATTACATACAATTATAATCTAATAAATCATAATGCTAATAATTTTAGGATGATTGATGTTTATTGATGTGTTATTATGTTATCTTTAGATTTGACATGATTATTTAATAATGTAATCCATTATAATCATTTTATTTCAGAAATCCGATTCTTCGGATTACGAAAACTTTAATTGTAGTAATGTGTGTGTAAATATTTTCCAAACAAAACAGACTGACAACCAACATGACAATATAATGTTTATAGAGGATCAAATAAATCAAATAAACGAGAACTTGTTAAAAGCCAACTTCTTTGCAAATAAATCGATGGCATCACTTGCCAAATACTGACATTTGTTTGGTCACCTGTTATTTCAAAATTGAACTGTCTCTAGGAAGATGCATGTGGCTAATCTAGAACCCAAATTATTTAATGTCGCTGACCCGGAAATAAGGAACAATAACCTGCTTTAAATCATTTGACTTACGTTATATGACTTTAGAATCCTTCTTTCCTCATTAAAGCTTTATTCTCAACAATATTCTCAACAATATCCAATGTACCCCTATCTTTTAGTATTATCCGTTAATGATGCATTCCATCATTATCCTGCTGTAACTCAGCCGTGCGCGTTTCATAAATGGTTATTATAAATACTGTACCTATTGTTAACTCTTCGCTCTTAAATATGAATAATATTTATTATCTTCATTATCACCGTCAATTACCGTTGATTACCGTTAATGCTGCATGTACAATCATATCATGATACTCAATTATTATTATAATTTTATAAAATAATTCTTAATATCGTTATTCTTGAATATATATTTTACTATTTGACTATTACTTTAATACTTTAATACTTTTTTTTTATTATTACTTAAATATTAATTTGTATCTTTGACTACTTTTATTTAACCGCGTGAACCTTTTCTCTGATCGCGTCTTTCTACAAATAATAAAACTCCCAAGTTTTGTTATCATTGATTATAATTAATTATAATTAACTATCAATTAATTATCAATTAATTATCGTTAATTGTTAATTAATTGATTAATTGTGTCAAAATAATCTAAGGATCTATGTAAAGATTTGTCACGTAAGTTAATGCGCGAATGGTTTATCTGATCTTTTTTGGTATCTATTCATCTAATTCATATAGACTGTTGCTCATCATATGGTTGTTCCTTTGTTCACTTTTCATGTTTCTTTTTTTATCTTTCGAATGTGATTCCAACAAGTTTGTGACGCGACAAGGTATACAGCATTTACAATAAATATTTATTATCACGTACTTAATGCAATAATTTATCGTGATCTAATTTGAAAAGTTCATTGGTTGGTCTTTTTTCCAATACTGATTTTTATTATTGTTATTATTATCTTTTAGCACCAATACCTCATTTAACCGTGTCTGCCACTTTGAACAAAAGCATTTCACTCGCAACAAAAAAAAAAGGAATCTCGCATATATGCATGTTATTATCCTTTCACGTAAGATAAACGTGAACTTTTTAGAAATTTATCTCGTTGGCATGTGACATTCACTGCAAGGCGGTGATTTTCTAATTTATACAATTTTATACTATTCAATGCACTATCGAACTTGATTTAGATTGGGTATATTAAAATTCATTGATAAATCTTTAATAATCGTTTATATTCGTTTTATTTTATTATTATTCTTATTTTTTTTATTGTGGCCTGTTATTTTGTATTCGTTTGGCATGTGAAGTTTACATTACTATAAATTTAATGAACAAATCATTATAACAGTTTCGATGGTGCCGCTTATACAAAGTAAGTGTTTCGCTGACTTGTTTTTAAGACTAATCATTTTTATTCAAGTTACAAGGTACGGTTATTTCATGTACGTATATAAAATAAGTCCTAATTTGGTTTACCCAGTGGGTACGAGCGAGACGATAATCCGTAAACTTGATCTTTTTTTGTTAATCACAAACTTTTCTTTTTTCATGATTCTAAATTGTAACCCGGGTGTTACACTTTACGTTTATTATCACGTTCTTTCTCATCACATTACTTGTGTGATAACTTGATTATGTGCCGGTCTCCGACCCGTTGTCTTTAAGTTGTTCGACTACTTTAGACTTTCTATATTTGGCATAATGCAATTATCGAATCATGTTCCTTCATCCGGTTAGGTAAATCATTCCTTTGCTAATCAAAAAAGCAGGAGAATTGCGAAATTGCCGGAGAAATATTCACTTGTTTTATTGATGTTTCAATCTTTGTTTTTTATTATTGTCTACCGTTTAAGGCCTTGTGTTAGAATGTCGTTATTTGTTTTATTTGTTTTATTACTTTATATTACTTGATGTTACTTATTATTACCTTGTCATTACCCTCGTCATTACCTTGTTATTGATTGGTACTTTATAATATTTTATAGTTTTAATACTTTATACTACTTTATTACTACTTATTACTACTTATTACTACTTATTACTACTTTATTACTACTTTATTACAACGTGGATCTACTAATTTTTAATACTTTTAATTTCTAATATTAAATCTCATTAAGGGTTGCGGGTTCGGTACGCAGTGAATAGGTCATCGACAAACATACTCTACCATATTCAACCATTTATGAATAATCCGAGCAAAAAAGTAATTTAAAGCACCCCACAAAACTTTGAAGTCTCGTGTATATTATTTCTATGATTAAGTTTGATCATTGATCGTTAAGTGGCATAAACGCATCAAATTCCTTTGCTTATCTTATTCGATCTGCATCCAATCATATTGCTTGGATAGTGCACTAGCTTAAATCCTTTCCCATTTATTCCAACATTCCGAGATTCTTTTAGCTTACTAAATTATTCTTTAATTATTCGCTTTAACTTTACTTTTGCATGATCCGTAAATATTCGAATCCTTTTCTTTCTATTACTATAGAAATTCTTCAAACTACTTATTTCCTCCTACTTATAATATGTGTGTCGCAACGTTCATGCTTGCATGATCCTTGATTGGTGTGTTGTCAATTTATTATAGATTAGAAAGAATCCAAAATAGATCTACCACAACTTAATTGAATATCAAATCACAACCTCACTTCCTGTACACGCTGGTTGCATTCGCATTTTGATAGGTAGCGTGAAAGTTTATCATATGAAAATTTATTTTTTTGATCTTATTTTTTTTGATCGTTTTCTGATGTATATTCTATTGTTGTCATGTTGTAGTCATGTTGTAGTTATGTTGTAGTCATGTCGCTCAATTTAATTTCTCCTCTTTCCGAATAAAAGTGTACTTAGTTTACATATTCCCCATGGTTTTTTTTT